CCGTTCCAAGAATTTTGGAACGGTTATAATCTCTGCTGTTACCAGCTCATAAAAAGTATGTATCAATCTCTTGTTTGATTCTACGATGCTCGCTTGGAGGAGATATTACTAAAATACGCTCACCTCCAAGCTGTGAACAGGTGTGATTGTGTAATTTGATTTTTTGACCCGTGCCAGCTGAGCCAAGAGGATCGCCGTCATTTTTCATCAGAAAAGTTGAAGATTGATTTCAGCGTATTGTTGAGATTATGACGGATCCGATGATATAAAAATCCATCTACCTACACTAATCATAATGAAGATAATTACCCTTTACGAAAACGGGAATATACCGTTTATTTTAGCGATGATTACAGAATCAGCTCAACGGGAGCTATGTGTTTTACAGATTCATCCCAACTGGGGTGAATCTGTAAAAGTCACGGGCGGTTCTGTAAATTCTTTGGAAGATCGTTATTGCTCTATAATTCATTTTCAATAAAGTTTGACTCTATATTATTGCGCTGACTTGCCAAGATATAAAATAAATGTTGTCTCGTCTTACCGTCGGTAAACCTTAATAGATTTAAAATGTCTTGACAATGTAAGAACTAAGCGTAGAGATCTGCATTAGATGAACTTGCCCATGGATGTCTATGGACAAACGTCGATTTCGGTGAGTTGTTTATGAATAGGTATAAAAGTATAAAAATGTTTTAAAAAAATTTTCTGAATACTTTACAATTGCAATATCAGCTGTTACAGATTTGAAATATAAGAAATTTTATCTTAGTCATGAAGTAGAAGAGAAATAATTTCGTTTACGTATATCATATTATCTTCTCTTTTCTGTAGTTACATTCACATATGTAAAACAGAAACAGAAAGAAAATCTAATACTCTATTTTGAAAGTATCTTCTCTACAAAACAATGCATGAAAGTGAGCTACATGAATTGATTAAATAAAATAGTAAAAACATAAAAATTGTCAAACTAGTAGAATCAGTTTACAGTAGCGTAGTGTGGCAAACGTTTTTTCTAATTTATTATGATGAAAAATTAGAACCATTTGTTCAGTGTGACATTTGTAAAATATTGGTGTCTTATAAACCATTATCTGGAACGAATTCGTTAACACGCCATCGCTATAAAAAATTTTCTATGTATATTTGTTGTTTATATGTTTCAAATATTCTACTTACTTTCATCCTCACGTTTTTCTAGAATAATTTCGACAAAAAATGTTCACTCATGGATAAAACATGGACATGAACAAAATTTTATTTTCGAATGAGTAAAGTTTCTTTAAAAAACTTAAAAAGCAATTTTTTGAAATTTTGACGTTTCAACCATTGTATAACTTCACAATTCAAAATATCGATCATATAAGATAGGGAAAAAATTTCTGATGTGGGAGAGCCTTAAGTTCAACGACATTTCCTTGATAAAAACCTCTTTTTGCTTGTTTTTCGCTTATGCAGCTGAGATCAATGTTTGTTGATATTTTCTATAAAAAAGGTCAAAATCAATTCGTTATGGATATTTTAATGATCAACAAAATGTTTTCACTGCAGGGAACTACTGGTCAAACTTTTTTTGCCATTAATACAATCTTCTTCTGTATGTTTGTTGTTTATATGTGTCAAATATTCTACTTATTTTCATCCTCACGTTTTTCTAGAATAATTTCGAGAAAAAATGTTCGCTCGTGGACAAAACATGGAAAAAGGTTGTCCATGCAGATCTCTAACTAAATGTCCTTATTATTCAAATCTCTTTCGTGTGACTTTTTATTACAAAATGTAATCATATAAAAAAGACATTTCTTCTTTGGAAATATAGTTTAAGATCGCATATCTTTTTAGATTGTGTAAGTTATAATACATGCATAGTGCATGAAATATTTCACTGCATCTCTTCTAAATAAAACATCATTCGAACAGCTCATATTGAACTTATTTTAGGCTAATTATTCCATAACTCTTGATGAATAATACGTGCCAAGCTGAACGTGATCGTTAAACGCATTTTATTGTAATTGCAAGATATTGTTTATTTTCACAGTGTTAATCGACGCATTATTTGACACAGACTCAATAAAGTTTTCAAATCATAACAATGTCGAAGTGTACAAGAATAATAACATTATGAATAAATAAAAATTATAATAATAACTCCTTTAGTTTATGGTTGTAGCACATTTTTTGCACCTTTAATCAAAAAAAACAAAATGAGAGTTGGACAAGAATAAGAAAGAAAAATATTTTTAACAAACGAATATATATAATAATCATTTTAACAAATAAATTTTTTTTCTTATATTTTAAAATAAAATCTGTTGTCTGTCGACTTGAACAATCAACAGGATTTTTTTTCTCCATGTATTAGCTTAATATTACTGTATATGATGAACTGTAAAACCAACGACGGTATGACTTTGGTTAAGAAATCAAAAGGTATGTACGAAGTTGTGGCATTGTTCTACAATGCTTATTGATGCAGGTTTACATAGAAAACTGTTAACAAGAAATAAAGTATTCGAGGCCATAAAAGAATTTTTCAGCGCGGTTTTTACTTTTGAATGAGAAGTAAATAGAGAACATTTATTCTTCTAGAGTAAAAGAATTGTCAACGTAGTAAAGAGATTCTAAAGTTAGCAGCTTAGTTTTTATTTTGAAGGATAGAATCTATGATACTACGTAGTTTAAAAAAGCAAAAGTATCTTAGAAATGTTTTAGTGACCGATAATTAGAGGTCTGCGTTATTGGTCTCAGTCTCGGTGTCGCGGGCTTTTTACGGGACAGGGACCCAGAAAAATCTTTTTTACAAGATCAGCATCGGAATCGGAACCTAGCGTTAGTTTCTGTGCTTGTTTGGATATAGGCACCAATTCTGCGAGAAAGAACTCACAAGAAAGTCGAAAAGTCTTCAATTAATATCACCCACCACTACTTTGAAAAAATAGTCAAGCTTCTGGCGGGTTCGGGACGGGTTTCAAATCTACGAGACCGAATCGGGATCTGGTTCCAAAATCTCAGACCCGTAGGACTCTACCTGCAGGCTTCTACCGATAATGTAATATAGTAATGAAATATATTGACAATCTTTGACTTTTTTACGTCTTTTATAAAACTATCCCACAGGATCTTTCATTCGTATTTATTGCATTATACGCATATCGTAATGCCGTGTAATGTATTAGCTTTTCTATTGTTTTATAACGTGATAAATTTAGAAAAAATATGTCTTTAATGCATTGTAACGCATTAGCGTAACGCGTAGAAAAAACTGCCCAAAAATTGAAATTATAGTGTTACAATACATTTTTATCAACGACTTTCTCATATTTTATAATGTTACAACGCTATAAATCCGACTAGAGCGTTAGTATCGCCTTATAACGCATTAACCTGTAACGTGTTGCAACACGTTATAGTTTAATGTATTAACCAATATAATATCTAACACATTACGTTATAAATATATGGCGTTACAATGCATTAACTGTTCAGGCGCTGTAACGCTATACGTGACACAACGCTATACGTGGGTAATAAGTGTGTTGTGGGAGTTTATGTCCTAAGTCTCAGGTCAGTAACGTATATGTTTGATATAGTTGAAGTAATTTGTCCCAGACTAACTTTTCGAGAGAAATCGATTGGCAGTTTCAGAATTTTATGGAAATGTGTCCTTTACGAGAAAACTATGTATTTTCATTTTGGATATTGTCTAACTCGTTGTAACGCATTAATACCTATCGTGTTACACCGAGTCCATTTTCTTATCTCATTCCAGTGAGATAGAAAAGAATAATGCATTGTAATCTATTAGATATTAACTCGTTACAATACGATACGCCTTAGCTAATGAGTTATAACGCTATAAAAGATTTTTCCAAATTTATGGTATTATAATCAGATAAAACATCTAATGTATTATAACGCATTATATTGAAGTAGAAAACTCAAGCGCGTTATAATACATTAGAATCTAACATATTATAAGATGGGAGACAAATGTAATTGCGTTGTAACGAGATAAAAATGCATTATAATGCTATAAATTTATAGAGTTGTAATGCAATGAAAATTTTTATCCAGTTACAACGCCATAAATTCCTGAAAAATAATTTTGCAACGCGCGTTCTTGAAAATTAACTCTGCATAACACGATAGGCTACGTCTATCACGTTGTAATAAGATAAATCTATAGCGTTGTAAGACCATAATTTAAGAAAAACCATGTTTATAACGTTATAACGCTATAAATAGGGAAAAAAAGATCCTGTGGTTAAGTATATTTAATATAATTGAAAAACATTTTTGTAACTAACTTTTTAGGGTCCAAGAGGGTTGATTTCGTATGACTAACCGTTCCACCGTGTAGCTTTTTCAGTTTTTCTTCGTGAATTGCTTCAATCTAAGCCTTTTTTGACTTTGCTAAGTAGTATACATCATTTTTTGTTCTATGATTATCTAATGTCGAGAGTCTCGGATAGAGAGATCTGAAACCAAACTGAATTTGACTTCGAAATAATTTCAAATTCCATTCTTTCTCTTGAAGTTTAGTCACTAACATTTTCCGTTGAAATACTTTACAAAAATGTTTTTCAATTATATTAAAATACACTTAGTAATGAAATATGATCCCATTTTGTGTAATTAAAATTTTTCATTGTCAAGATTGTCCCAATATGATAAATGAACATTTTTGATAAAATTTTTCACATTATTAATATCTTAGTATTTTCTATTACTCGAGGTGATAAATATCTCGAAGAAAAACAAGATACAGTTTTGTAAAAAAACGTTGTTAACTATATCATCTTTTCTGTTTCTATCATCGTAGAAAAATTTAAAGAAAATTTTTTTTTGGAACATAAAGCATTTCCTGTACACAAATTTTAAATTACAAAATATTATTGTGCACTTCTATTGCTTTTTGCTCAAATAAAAAAAAGTAACCGATAAAATTTCATATTTAAGAAAATAAATAAAGTTTTAATTTATGATATATAATGATGTATAAAGTCGATAATTTTCATACATATGGTAAGGCAAAACTTTGATGCTGTTGAGTATTGTAGAATACCAACAGTATCTCATTGATTAGAAACATTTTGACTCACATTTGATGGTACTGGGAACTTTCATCGAAAAATACTTTATCGAAATTTTTTTACTGTAAGGTATGGTTAAGAAGTTTAAGTACGAATAAGATTTAGCAAATAGAAGAGCCGTAAGGGTGTGTAGGAAAACTCTTTCAGAAGGAAAACCAAGAATGACGAGTAAAAAAGTATTTTCGATGAAAGTTCAGTGAATCACGTTTGATAATCTAATTTTATCTTATTTTATATTCTTTTAAAGGACTCACACCGCTTGATCTTGTCTTACCCATTTCTTCTTACAATACCGACAAACGTATTTTTTCTGATATTAAATCAGAAATTATAGACAATGTAGATAATGAAAACTCGCCACAAGCACGTACAAAAACTTTTTTAAAAACTGCCAGACAATTGGTAGATGAAAATAAATTTAACACAAGTTTAGCATTTACAAATAATTTATTAAATTCACATCGTTCTAAAGTCGAAATATTACGTTCAAATTCTCCAACATTGAAACGTCTAATAGCTGTTCGAACAAAATTAGAAAAATATCTTGGTTCATCGGTAATAAGAACTGTCTCGGCCACAAAACGAGAAAAATCAATTGATACACCAGTTATCAATACACATATGACCACTGCAACATTAATTCAACCTAAAAGTTCAAACATTATTTCTCAACCGAAACAATCACAATCACAATCACAATCACAAACAACTTCATCGAAAACACCATTGGATAAGATAACATACGAAAATATATCCTACGGTGGAAATGATGTAATGAAAAAATGTTCATTAGAAATTTGGTTGCCAAAAGCAGAATATTCACCAGATTGTCAATCAAGTAGAGCATCAACGGCCAAAGAAAGTCATAGTTCATCGTTGATGAAAAAATCAAAAATACCATCAATTACTACTATTAAAAGTCGTCGACAAAGTATTGGAACAATAGCAATTGATGATGATAAAAGAGAAAATCAAAGTGAACTATCATCAAAAAGTCATAAACATATCAAATTTATTCGATCGAATAATGATGGTGAAAATAAAAGCAATAATGAAATATCAGATAAAAATACAAATGATAATAATGAACCATTTATTCCTACACAATCAAAAAATGAACCGCCAAAAATACTGCGAACATCTTATTATGATAAACTTGAATCAAATGATGTTGAAGATGAGACTGATATAAATAAATTGGGAAAAACTGTAAGTCATTTTGCTCGAAAACGTACATCATTTCAGCCGATATTAAGTACAAATACATCTGTTGTCAACAGCACTGTCAGTGATAATCAACATGAAAATGTGGCACAATCAAACGTTAAAAATACATTAAAACAACAACAACAGACAGTTCCAACGCCAAACAACGCGTTTATCCTAAATGAATTAATGAGGAAATATACATTGATCAAAAAAGCTCAGTATGAAACGGGTAAAAAATTTTTGTCTAATATAATCAGTTAAAAAGATCATCAACCATGCTATGAGTATATCCTGTACAAACGGATAGTGAGAGATGCGTACGTAAACAGTCTGATCACGTAACTCTGTTACCGCAGTGTCCAACAGTTTTTCTATATTTTTTTTCTCGTACAGTTTTCGAATGAAAATATGCCTAGAATTCTTCCTAAACAAAAGAATGTATAGAGTATGGAAACATCTCAAAACATTGAGCATACTTTTCGCTTTAATTTAAGATGCTCCGAAGCTCCGGACACATTTTCATTCGAAAACGGTAAGAGAAACAAAATACAGAAAAATCGTTGCGGAACGACTTTGCGGTAGGAGAGGTACGTGGCCACGCCGATAAGTTTGATTTTTTCTCTCTACTGGAAAGTTTGTTACATTGAACTTCGTTTTCAAAAATTTTAGGAGACTCGAAATGTTTTCAAGATGAATATATTCATAAACGCTACTATCTTAAAGCACTTCGAGTCTCCTAAGCTTTTATTTCATGAGTATATTCAAAGCTTTTTTTATAATTTTTAGATCAACTGCACTCTGATTCAAAGGATTTAAGCAGCGAAAATATACATAATTCTGATATGAAGACAAATACTTCATGTGAACAAACGACGAAAGTTTCCGTTAAACGTCTAGTAGTTGATTTACCGATAACGTCAACAAAAACTGTAGATAAGCGAAAACTTCTTGAAAGACGTCCATCCAGACAAACTTTAAATGTCGAAAGCAGCATGGATACCAGTTATGAGTATCAAATAAAAAATATAACACATCGTGCCGTCAGTAATCCACGATCGGTATCTGCTTCAGGTAGCGATTTAAACATGTTAACTGGAAAACCTATTGTTTCACAGCGAAATAAAGCATTAGACATTGTCAAATCATCCAAGATAAAAAATGAAATTCAAAAGACCAATTTACCAATAGTAACAGATGATGTTTCAAAAACCGTGAGTCGGACACCGGGGATTGTTTCTGTTCCACAGATACTTATGACAAAACCAATGGTTCCCGCTGTATATCAGAGAAGTAAAACACTTGACATAACTAAAACATCGAAATTGATGAAAAATATTGCTATGTATGAACTTGATGAAGATGAGGATACACTGAATGATACAAGAGATACGAATGAAAATACTAACGCTGACAGTAGACATGATATGACAATTAACGCAAATAGTGAACTCAATGAGACGATGAGTCAGAAAAATCTTCCCACTGAAACACAAACTCAATTAGCTACATCGGCAAAAGCAACGAGACCGGAAAGTTCAACGAACACGTACAGTCAAAGTCCAAATTTATATGGACCAATTATTCCAAATATGTTTCAAAGAGCTACTCCTAATAGTATAAATAACAGTAGAACTGATACTGTTATAAATAAAATAACTGTTGAAGAGCCAAGAATATATTCCGATAACAAACGTCCGCTCATCGCTCTTCGTCCAGACATTTCAGATAAAATGCCATCGAAATCCTCATCACCAACTGTTCAACTTGTACAGTATCATAATCCGGTTACAAATTATCATTCTGGACAATTGACAAATTCAGAAAAAGTAGTTGTACATTTAAAGTATAGCACAGGAAAAACATGGTCAAAACAGGGTTTTGTGCCATCTCCATCTCCGTAAACTATAACTGTGATCAATTTAACATCATCATATACAGAAAAGCTTCATGTGAATTTTTCTTTCAGTACAGTCGATAAAATAGTATTTGAATCAACTCAAGAGATAATAAGAGTAAATTAATTTTTTTTCAAATTTACAGTTGACATTGTCCTTGTTAATTGTTAAATATAATAGGGTAGACTTCAGTTGTATTATCTCTAAACTCAAAAGAGTATAGTAACAGAAACCCATAGTTTAAATTTATTACTCATTTTTTCAACAGTAAAAAATATTTATCCAAAGATAATATTAAGACAGAAAAAACAGCTAAGTTTGTACACGTATATGTCATAAGAATATAGCACACAACAGAAAAAAAAGCGAAGAAACAAAAAATTGGCTTTTATTTTCTTGTAAGAAAAAAGAAACGGAATATATTACAGTTCACATAGACAAAAGCAAAAATAAGCAACAAAATTAACTCGTTCGTTTACGCTTACTCCTCAAACCTGGATCACTAACATACGCCATATTTGTCCATTTTGTTCTTCTCAATGATTGTCTGACAGCGATCGTTGATGTTGATTCCTTTTCATCGCTATCTACTGATTGCTGTTTTGCTAGAGAATAATCAATTAGTTCTTGTTTAGAATCACCGAATATTGACGAAAATTCATAATCGTCTTGATAATCCATTGTTTGAACTTTTGATGTAGAACTTCTTAAACGATCTGTTTTTTGTTGCTGTAATCTCTGTTCAGCCCATGGAATCAATGTATTGGGTGTAGTCTAAAATAAGAGATAAATGATGGATTATGACTCTGTGTGCTGGATGTATATTGAGTAAATATTCATAAAATCTCATAAGTAATAAAACAGAGTTTAAATCAAACGATCATGATGAAAGGGATTTGGCATGAAAAGAGTAGTGTATAGTAGTGGAAAACATTATAGAGCCACTGTATTTTTGAAATTTTTCAATGAAACTGGATGGCTAGGTCAAATCTGAATAGTGATCTGGATAGTCCTTGAAGTTCTCTATCAAATGCAGTATGCGTCAAAAATTCCAGAAAAAAGGTTTCGAAGAAAGTCTTCTAGAAAACCCCCTCCAGCGGAGCTCTAAGTCCTAGAGAATTTTGCTAAAAATGTTTTCAGTGTCACATTTCTCTGGATTTTCTGATGCCTGTAACTTTGTAACCAAAGATCGTAGAGAGCTGTACGACACTTTATTTTGTTCAGAATTTTATGCTCGTTTAGATGGCCATATTGAAAACATTTTCAGCGTTCCAGAAGAGCGTTCCACAGCTCTTCATGATCTTTTGTTGCAAAGTTATCGACATCAGGAAATCCAGAGAAATGTGCTTCTGCTTGTTTTTTCGGCTATTTTGAGCGTTTTTTTCGTAAATTATACTATTTCTTTGGATCTTCTGATGCCTGTAGTTTTGTAATGAAAGATCGTGGAGAGCTGTGCGACGCTTCATTTTGTTCAAAATTTTATCCTCTTTTAGATGGCTATATTGAAAAAAATTTTAGCAAAATTCTCTAATACTTAGAGCTCCATTGGAGGGGGTTTTCTAGAAAACTTTCTTCAAAACCTTTTCTCTGGAATTTTGACGCATACTGCATTTGATAGAGAACTTCAAGGGCCATCCAAATCACTATTCAGATTTGACCTAGTCACTCAGCTTCATCGAAAAATTTCAAAAATACAGCGGCTCTAGAATTTTTTCCCAGTACTGTATAAACGTTAAAAACATCTCGACAGATATGTAAATTAGGAAGTATAATTTACCCGTAACAGTTGTTGAGCTAATGATAGTGTTTCAAGTGCATGGACATAGACTTCATCACCAGGAGCATAAAAATACAATGCATTTGTAAACATTATCATCACATCACGTTGAAATTCAAATATGTTTTCATCATAATTGCCCATCTCAATATTTTGTTTCAATTGATGTAAATCCATCGGTCTAAGTAGTAAGAGAAGAAACTGATTTAAAAATAATATATTTAAAAGTGAAAACAAAAATACCTTTTAATTTTTTCGATATAATCTTCTGGTAAATTATATGTCAATATTGGTTTTTTGAAATCACCACCATATCTAAAATTACAAGAAAATAAAATTTAACTTTAATTAATTTTATAAATTAACATAAAATATGTGAAAAATAATGGCTAAACTAACTTCGAACTTGCAAGTGTTTTCTGAACATGAAGCATAGGTTTACGATTTTGTTTGTCAATTCTAAATAAAAATAGTTCCTGTGTCAAAATCGACAAATAAAATTTATATTTACTACAAAATCACAGACTTTGTCGGTGTTGTCGGAAATTGTTGTTTCGTTTTTTTAATTGTAATATGAGAAGGATTATTATTGATCATGATATATTCATTTGTTATTCGTAGACCTTTACGTCTAGTTTTTGGCTCAAACGTTTTAGATCTTTGCTCTTCTTTCAGTATGACTTGTTCAAATTTGTTTTCTATATGATTACTTTGATTATTATTATTATTAGACTGTGAATTAATACTTTCTTCTTCATCACTCTCAATAGTAATACATTCTGGTTCTTTATATTCATTTTTATCTTCACTAAATGTATCAAATATATTCATATCAATAGCAGTATCACCAGTATAATTAGAATTTTTATCAACAATAGTGCTATGATCCTCAATTACATTAATCGATGATTGTTGAAATAAATTACCGTCAGAACTTTCACTATGCTTTCCACCTAATAATTGTTTATTGCTAGTGTTATCACTAAAGCAAAAAATAAAATAATCTATTAGAATAAATAGTTTAAGTTTCAATTATTCTATGATTTTCGTTATATGTAGCTGTTCACTTGTGTACATTACCATCTTCCGAAAAATTCATCCGATCGCGCTCAAAATTTTACCACAGATATCTGAGACGATGCCTCTCATAATGAAAATTTTTCTTTTTCTGACTTTTTCCTTCTCGAGATATAAAAATTTTTTCTAAGAATTTTACCACTGTTTTTTATTTCTTGAGAATGAAAAATCAGAAAAAGACAAAATTTTTCATTCTAAGACTTGCGATAAAATTTTGAGCGTAATTAGATGGAGTTTTAGGAAAGTCATCATGTACATAGACAGAAATCTTAGTTAACTATAGAAGAACATATTAGAAAAATGTTGAGCAAAAATGCATTAATTTTCGTTTTTGATGTACTATAACTGATGAGAATTTGAACTCAACCGGACTTTCACTTTACATTTGCCAACAAGGTGAAAAAAAAGAGGAATACCCTTCTATCATAAAGGTGGATACACAGAAGCAGAAACATTATATCTGTTATGAAATACATAGCGAACTACTTAGATTTTACTGTATAATAGGGAAGAAAAACTTCTTGAACTAGCTAGGATGGAAACTCTGAATAAAAGAATGAGTGATCGTTTGTTCTCTAACTTTCACTTATATCTCACAGAATTTAAAAGGAAATATTACCATCATCTCTCTGAAAAATCAACAAAGACTCATGAGAATTGCTTACAATCCTACGTCCACTATCAGTATAAATATCCCTTTTAACGTGAATTCTTTCTTCAGAGAGAAAAATATATTTTATTGTTTACACCTTTCTAATGTTGTTGATGGTGCTGTTTTTTCTCGATAAATAATTGAATTTGATGTTTCATTACTAATATCGTCATATTGTGATAGATGGTTATCCTGTGTACTTTCAGACGATGACTGAGTCATTGGAGTAGTTAAAGAAAGATTTGATTCCTCATTTTCTTCATCCTCCTGTGATTGATTAATTTCTTCTCTTTCCATATCTTCCGATGCTGTTCTTGACACATCTTGAAATGTTGTCGTTTCGTTTATTTCCGTTTCAATTGGTGTCACGTTACTAATCTCATCATATGTATCCATCTTTTGTGTACTTTGTTTCTCTTCTTCTTCTTCTCTATTATCATTGTCGTCAACGATTAATTCAATTATTTCTTCTTTATTTCGATTTGATACCGGTTTCTCTTCCCTAATACTATCAACGCTATCAACAACTACGAAAGGTTTAGATCTTTCTGACGAACGATTTCCATGATGAACGGGTGCTGGTGGGTGACAAACATCTTGCAATAAAGAAAAGATGTTACAACCATTATTATTACTATTACAATTTGTATCGAATAAAATCTTTTCTTTATTTTCGTCTGATATTGTTTCTCCTTTTATATTCGGTACTTGGCTTACATCATCTTGGAACATTTCAAGTAGAACATTCGGTTCTCTAAAACAAATATAAAATATTTTATTCAATATTTATTACATATCTTATTACACACGATAAATAGAAATTTATAAAACAACGATTTTTTATCTTCAAACCTTGTTTCTAATTCTGTTGTTTGAATGTTTATGATTGGTTTTATACTATCTCGTCGGAATGGTGGTATAGACATAATTGAATGATTATTCTACAAACAAATATTTATATAAAATAAAATTAAGTGAATAAGAAAAAGATTCGAATTTAACGAACTGATATTAGTGGATCGGTAATACATATTTTATTCTGTAAAATCATATAATCTTTGATTCTGCTTAATATCATCATTTTTTTGCCGCTTATTTCTCGATTTTCGGGTCTAAAACAAAAGAATGAATAAACAAACTGTTAATCAACTGATTTCTGTTCATGAGTCGATTATCATAGTAGGCTCTCTATCAGGGATCCCAAATCTTCTGATTTTTGAACTTTTTTTCTGCCTCGTTTCTGATCTTCTGATTTTTTTTCTGATTTTATGTGGATTTGAACTAAAGTTTGGTTCATAGCGCATGTATCGCATCACATTTATATTACTTTTTGTTCCGGTAGTAGACACTGGACAATAATATCCCAATAGTTCATTAGAAGTGTTCCTTATATAGATTTTTATCTCAGAAATTGCTCATTCTTCGATCGATTATAGTAGTCTGCGAGTTTAGATGTACAGGGTGCGTAATAATATTATTCCAGGGGGGTACAGCTCAAACGACAAATGATATCAAAACGAATTATATACCAAATGAAAGCTCATCGAAAATGGGATTGATGAGTATAATTGATATTCTGTATGATGATTATTAGCTGTGGAATTATGGAGGTTTCTATCGAGTGCGTCATAATGAATGAGCCTCTTAGTACTTTCTCTTTTTCTCGTATCCCTTTAGAATCCTAAGATTAGTGTTATTTTTAAAAGATGCACCACGAAATACTCTACAAATTCATACACAAACTTTAGTTTTAAAACTTCAATCAAGAGAACTACGTAAATTGTATGAAAGGCAGAAAAACTGAAAACTTCGTATATCTGGTATTTTTTTCGACTTGAACTGTTTTCTTCTGCTATTATTTCCGCAAAAACTGTACCAAAAGTGCGCACTAGGTTCTTTTTTGTACTTTTGAATATGCTCTTTCTCGTGGTCTAGTAAAAAGAAATTTTAAAGCAAATGGTGCGCCGGAAACCGAAATTTCAAAAATTTCTCCCCGTTTTCAACAATGTGTCCAAGCAAGAAACGGAAAACGTGTTCGAAGTTTTGATTTTGCAGTTAGGTAGTGAAGAGCAACCATTTCTGATCAAAACAAAACAGACCCAATAGAAAAAGCTTTTATTCTGACGAAGTTATGGGACTTTTACTGAAAGCAGCACTATACCCATAACTGACGCACCCGACAGAAATTTCCATAATTCTACAGCTAATAATCATCATACAGAATATCAATTATACTCATCAATCCCATTTTCGATGAGCTTTCATTTGGTATATAATTCGTTTTGATATCATTTGTCGTTTGAGCTGTACCCCCTGGAATAATATTATTACGCACCCTGTACTTTGTATATACGAGCGGTCTAGAACTGGGAAAAATTCTGAAGTTTTCTGTACTTTGTTTCTACTCCTAGAATAACTTAAGAGAAAGAAACATCTCCTAGGATAGGAAGAATTGGTGTATTTTAAAGTTTTCTGAAACGGATTGTTTTTGAGAATGTCTATCTCAGATGCGTGAACATATGCTGTAGTAGTAATTCAAATTCATTTAAATTTAAATTTTACCCAGCCAAAATTCAACAATTTAGCATTTATATGTTATGATAACACCCACCATCACTCGTCGTATTCCGTACTTGATAGTTGACTTCTTTTACAAACTTTGTTTTGTAAAATTGTATTCTAATTTTTTCCTGATTTTCATCTTTTGGATTTGGGATTCCTGCTCTCTATGTCCTTCTCTCGTAAAGTTCTCAACGTTTTCAGACTGCTTGAACAACATGTAGAAGAAGAAAAAAACAGATGACATTTACTTTAGATCAACTTGTTTTATTAAATCGTTAATATCTTGAACTTGAATTCGACCATCACCAAAATGTCTTACAAATTCATAAACTACATCGATTACTTTTCGACTTTCTTGAATTTTATCACATAATTCACTGTAGTATGATTTCTTCAATTTGAAATATAAATACTTGTAGAATGGTTCATTATCTCCACTTTTCTGCCTGAACAAAAAAAATAGTATCTAAATGAATAATTAGTTTTGTACACTATACACAAACCAATCATTTTGATATAATCTCGATAATTCATTGTATTGTTTCAAGCATGCCTAGAAAACCAGGAGAAAAAAATATATATATTATTCTTCTATTTTGAGTAAAAACTTACTACTGGTGATGCTAAAACATGTTCTCGAATATCATCCGAAATCTTATTCCATTTATTCTCGGGTCCGTCATGTTTCAAAATAGCGAATGCTAAAATATATTGTGACTTTAAATCATTAAATGCCATCTAAAACAAAATTGATCATTTCGAATAAAATGCATCGAAACTGAAAATCATATTTGGATTAACGAGTGAGTAAAATCTTCAATAGAAAGTCAATATTTGCCGTTGTGATTTCTTTATATTGGTCAATAAAAGTGATCATAATATGAAATGATCACAACAAACAATTTTAATCAAGCTACAAATTACCATCACGATAGAAATTTCTATTTTATTTCTCATCCATGATTAGTGTCTCTAATAAGAGCGTGTACCCATTTTAAACAGAGTGTTAAGAATCCTAATGAAAATATACACACTGTTTTACACGGTGTAAAAAAAACGAAGAGTGCAGTTTGCAGACTTGTACCAGTTCACGTAGAACGTATAACAATTCAAAATAAGTCTATCACTCTATTGTTTTTTTCTCTTTTATGTTAATCGTAGTCATGTGAACAATTAGATTAGTAGGTAACGATAAAAAAACCTATATTATTAAACAAAAAATGTGATTTTCGGATGTATCTTGTGTGATTTTTACTTTGACCATTTGAGCTTGTTCTCGCATACTACACATAAAAGCTTGAGATGATTTAAATTTTAAAAACTTACTTTTTTCAGTTACTAGTTCTTTTCTTTCCTAAACCAATAAGAAAATCGGAATTTTTCGGGCCGATCTCATTATTTGGCACCAGATGTTTAGTTTCAGCCACTTTTCTTGTGCCCAACTTTCAACGATTTGTATATAAAAACGTCAGCTAATGTCTACTTCGTTGAACAGAAACGATTTTCAGAAATAATCTATACAGCTGGTAATGTTCCATACACGAACAAGGAAATGACGCCGGATAATCGAAAACAAAAAATATGTCATCATTATCCACACATTGTCAGTATTAAAGGGCAACAATAGAATAAACACTTCAGTGCAATTGTGGCTAAAATACTCTTAACTTGGTTTAACATGATTAAGAGTTTATGTTAATAATGTTTTATTTATTTTTAATAAACCCTTAATCGTGTTAAACCAAGTTAAGGGTATTTCAGTCGCAACTGCACTAAAGTTTTTACCACTCACATTTCGCTGACGAAACAACAATGCACATGTATCAATTCAGGTCAGCGAATTTTACGTGAATCTTATGAAATTTTATGAGACCTTATCAGTTCTTCTATGATTTTGGCGGATAATAAGCGTTTGGTCCATCAGAAGAGACATGAACATCCTCTTTTACGGATCTACTAGATTATTCTCACTGGAAAGTAATAAAGATAGCAGCATTATTCTCCATTGATCAGCAAGAATACTATGATAAATCACTTTGTATTATTTCATCAAAAAGTACAAAAAGATATCAGGAATACAGTATTTGTATGTTGTATCCAGAGTTGCCAGATGGTCCACATTTTGCGGACAAATTCTGAATATTTGAGTTTTTTTCGCAATTTGTCCGTATTGTCTGCTTTTGCTGTTTTTGCCCTTTGTTAAAAACTCGTTTAAACTCATCGTTAGCATGCATTAAAATTTATAATTTCTTCTTATCAACATCAGACTTGCTTAAACATATTCATTCTAATAAAAAATATATAGTCAAAAACCAACGTGCCAATTAAAATCGAGATTTACATTTCTGTTTGTTGTTCTCTTGTGTTTTATTGAGTAAAATCACAAAGTGATACAGAAAACACTTTTTGGGCTCTCTTCGCCTGACAAAGGATAAAGTTAGACCATGAAAATGTATTTCCGTTTTTTTCCGCATTTTGGAATGTTTATTCTGCATTTCTGACCTGAGCATCTGGCAACTCTGCTTGTATCAGACTATTTCAGAATGAGGCTGTGTATGGCACGATGTAATTTCTTCGGAAAAATCTGGCAAGATAGAGCTTAACAGTTGAAAGCAGATGCAACATTTAGAAACCACGAAAATGACAATATACTCTTGACAGTAGTCATAGGCTAGTGAAAACAGCAAATACAGAAGATACTAGATGTCCCAAGTAGATGACATTAGAGCAGCACCGTTCTCTTCTCAGTTTGGGAACGAAAAATATTACCAAAATATTCAACTCATTCTACTCTCGTCACATTCCAAGAAAAGAGGATTTATTTGCATTCAAAATTATCATAAGCAACGATGAATAGCCACTATCAACATCCCTCACCTAGAAGCTAGCGACCCATTTTCATTGTACTTTATTTGCACCACCTTGAGTACTCCTATTAACACTATAACTGGGTAAAATGTTCTCTATTAAGCTATAACCTTTTTTCTTCCTCAAAAACGAGTTGTGGATTACAAGGTCCCGAAGTGTTATATTATAAGGTAAATCCGATGTAACAATGTCATTCAAATGCTAAAAGTGTGGCAATATTGACACACTTTACGTTCACATTTCAACGTAACATATGTTACGTTTTATCGTAATATTTCGGGACAGTTTGTCTTTCTCTGGGTTTGAAAATATGGTTTATAGGAAAAGACTCAAAAGAGACTTGAAAATATAGGAAAAGACACAAAAAGTTGAAATAAAAAAGAAGTTTAATAGATAATAAATTCATTTGTGTAATGTTGCGCGAATAAGTGTTTAGGGATCATAATTATAAAGAGAGATTTGACTACTGATTAAGTTTATCAATCTATTACTGAGCAAAAAGCTTGTTTTAGAAGATCTATTTTTGAAATATTCTATCAGTGCTCGATTGGCTAACAATGACGTATTATACGTGTTCAAAACAGACTGCGCTCCGATTCACGGTTCTGCACAGTGTTTTTAATAGGAATTTTAAGCAAAGTGGGTTTCCACAGTTTACCACTGCATTTTTCGTGTTTTCCCTGCTAAAAACAAAGTGGAAATCGAATTTTCAAAGTGGAAACCCATTTTGTTCAAGCGAGACTCACTAATCATTAAAAACAATGGTTCTACATCACACTAGAAATCCTTTGTGTCTATGGATCTAAATAATGTTGAAAAACAATCGTTTGCACAAATTAATGAGGTCAGGAGGATGCTTCATAAAAATTCTAAAGTGCTCGACTTAACCAAGTCTAGACTTATGTTAAGTCAAAAATTATAAAATTAACACGTAAGTGTACAAAATGAAGACTTTGAACATCTTAACAACTTGGAAAAATCTCATTCTGGGAAATAACCCTCAAGTACACGTTATAAATAGTCAATACTTTCCATATTCTTTACAAATGATGAAATTTTAAACTTCTCCAAACAGCAAGTTAACATCACCGAGTGACAAGTGGTACGTATTTTACTACGTCTAAATAAATTTGTTTTATTAAAACAAAGTTATTAAAGTTCATGTGTGTTGTATATGTTATACATGAAAAATAAAAGTAGTTCAACAAAGAAAGTGAAAAGTCGTCAAGTTCTGATTGTTCTGCTAGCTATGGATGACTTTCTATCCAAAAATGAATTATATACGTTTTTTATTGATAACATTCTTACACTATTAGTACAGAAAATACAAAGTTGCTCGTTTTTAACGTGGAAAGTACAGACAAAGTTGGAAATCGACTAATATTTGTTTTCTTAAGTCTGCATAGCAAATGATAAGAGACTCAGACAAAATATTTTTAAGTTGTGATAGTTGATAGATAATTCTATATATAGATGGATCATGTTGTCGAAATACCTTTATAGTCAATATAAGCACGTCTTTCGTATCAGATGATAGAATTATAAAAATTATTCTCACTTGTACGCTGATGCAGCCGAATTATCGGTCGAATACTGAGAAAAATGTTCGCTAAATAAAAATAAGACATTTTTCGTCAAGATCTAACTACTTTAACGAGAAAAATTTACTAGAATCTAAATTGCTTTTTTTTATCACATATATATATGTAGATAGTTGCAAACTACAAACAATGCTATGGAAATGACGGTCTGGGCGTATTTTCTCTATTATATGCGCCGTTTTTTAAATAGCTGTTCAGTTGTTTAATATTAAATAGTTTGATCGACTATATCTATTAAACAACATTCTTCTATATTCAAAGTTACAGATTTCAACGAACGGTTTGTATAATAATTGACAGAATCATCAGAATATCATTGGATTCGCTAAGTGGTTGAGTATTATCATATGAAAATGACTAATATCGTAATAGTATTTATTTTGAAAAAATACTTTGTAGATATAGAAGTATAGATGATGAAAACTTAAATTAAATTTCTCATAGTTTAAACAATTTCACATGTTTTTTAAACCGATTGAAAATAATTAGGTCTAAATTCATCATGCCATCAATCTGAATTATGCTGTTTGTAATTGTATTGATAAAATTAATCTCTTATATATATTGAACATGTAACATATATGTTTTTTTTTTGTTTGTGAACAATAAGTTTCATTTTTTTATATTTAATATTTATATCGTCTATTTTAAATTTCAGAAAAAAAAGCAACAACATTTGAGAGTTAAGAAAGATCAATATATTTAGTCAAATTTAGCATCAGATTATACTGTTTCTTGTTTAAAATGTGGATATTTTCCTCATTTTATTTTATTTCATGTCAATAAATCTTATTGTTATGTTAAAATTTTGATATTTGATTGTAGAATCTTCCTCAAATACATTATTTTTTTGCATGATGTATTTAATTTTGTTTTAATAAATTATCATAAAAATGATGGAATAATTACTAAGATAGTATTCTGTTGATGTGAATCTCAATTATTTATGTTTTGACCTATTTCAGATCAAATCAACAATTCAACGTTGTTGTCTTTTACACATTGGAGACGAATTCCAATTCATTATAAAATCCATGGCTTCAACCAGCGATCGAGGAAGAGCAAGAGGACGTGGACGTGCAAGACCTACACAACCACTAGACAACGATGAAACACGACCGGGTGGTGCAGCTCAGCTAGAACAGTCCCAACTGTCATCCAATGTCGAGCTCATTACGGGAGCTGGTGAATCTCTAAATCCAGCTCTTCCATCACAAACATCGATACCCACACAGGTAAGAAATCAGACAATTATAAGCAGTAAAAAGAAAATTTATCATATCATTGTTTCGTTTTTTAGAGTTCAGCATCGACGACAGAAAAACCACGGAGAGGAGCTCCGGTTGTCATGAAAAGTGAGTTGAATGCTCTTTCTTATCAATATTTGTTTCTTTAACATTTTTCTTTCGCATGTAGGTGCTCCAAGAGGTACAGGACTTTCAGGTTTGGTACCGGAATTTGCAGCACTAAATGTTGGACGTAGTAATACACGATCAGTACCATACACCAGCTCACAACAAATTCAACAACAATCAATAGAAAAAAGAGGTATGATAAATATCCCCAACTCAAATAGTCAGCGCCTATAAATCTATAATACTTTTATTTTGAAGGCACATCTGGTGATCCAATACAATTAATTGCCAATTATATTCGTATACTAGCAACACCAACATGGGAATTGTTCCAATATCATATTGATTTTCAACCAGAAGTTGAACAGAGAAAAATGCGTCGTGAATTGATTGCTCAACATCGTGATTTATTCAAAGATGTAGCCTTTGATGGCACAACAATGTATGCATTTGACGATCTTGGTGATGTGCGTAATTCTGACTCAAGTGCGTTAGTAGTTTTCACATTTGTATTTATCATTTAGGAAAAATCTCTTATGGGACGTAATCCAGGAACCGGTCAGGAAATTCAGATACTTTTGAAAAAAACTGCAAAAAATTCTCCAGAAAGTCCAAATTTTTTTCATTTGGCAAATCTTATTGTTAGAAAGTATGTCTATTGTTTATTTAAAAAATTAAAATACACCGTCGTTCTCTTCATATTTCAGATTATTAGAACTTACTGGAATGAAATTGATTGTAAGTAGTTTTTTCGGTCAATCGCTATGACTACTATTAGTATTTTCACAATATCTTTACGTGTATTAAGTTCTATGATATTTGATCTTTTAGGGACGTAATTACTATCAATATGATCGTAAACTTGATTTGGAGCGTTACAAATTAACATTGTTTCCCGGATTTATGACAAATGTAAACATTTTTGAAGGTATGAACATAATTGAGTAACAAGTTGTTCGATCTCATAGGCACTGTGTTCATTTATTTTTAGGCTCGCTAATGATTAATGTAGATTTAAGTCATAAAGTATGTTTCCAGAGAAATTTAAGAAACTAGTTAGTCACCATTTTTTGCTATTTTTTTTATAGATATTAAATAAAACGACAGTGTATCAACGTTTACAAGATATATTTAATCAACAAAGAGACTATAAAAAGGCTCAAGATCTAGCCACAAAAGAACTTGTTGGCGAAATTGTTCTGACCACATATAATAACAAAACATACAAAATTGATGAAATTGCATGGGATCAGGATCCTACTCATCAATTTCAAATGCGTGATGGTAGTCAATGGTCATTTATGAAATATTATCAAGAAGTATGTTTATTGTTTATTGATTGTAATCATAGTCTATTTACCTAAATATCCGTTCCTCTTGTCTTACTTTTTTTAAGAAATATCAACTTCAAATTGATGATCCAGCACAACCATTGTTAGTCAGCAAACCCTCAAAACGTGACAGACGTGCTGGTATTACAACACCATTATTATTAATTCCAGAATTATGTTGTGTGACCGGTAGGTTAATTAGCGCTGTTGTTGTAGTGTGTGCACTAATATATTCTAAAGTGTCTCTTAGTAAGCGTAACTTTCATGTCATTGATCAATGATATATCTGACCGATGTAGGATAATATTAGAAGTGTATTCGAACAGCATAGTGTTGTTTCTTACTTATAATTGTATTGCAGATACTTTTGTCTCAAATGATATACCTTAAAGTGTTTTATCATAGAATGCTCAGAACTTTTAAGCAACTTACGTTTTTAACTAGTTCATCTTACAATCATATTTGATATTTTGTTTAGGTATTTCGGATGTTATGAGATCGGATTTTATGTTTATGAAAGAAATGGCCTCACATACACATGTTGATCCTGCCACACGCTATGGACGTTTAAATGAATTTATCAATGATATTCATTCGTATGTATGAAAAAATATTGTAGATCGAATTCTTTTTTTATTTATTTTCTCTCTTTATAGAAATCCAGAATGTCAAAAAGAATTAAACAAATGGAACATTCGTTTGGATGATGAATTAGTGCAATTTGAATCTCGTGTACTAGATGCTGAACAAATTTTGTATGCTGATGTAAGTTGAAAGAAAATTTATCGAATAAACAAAAGTTAGAATTTTTACATAAACTTTTTCTTTTTATAGCGTATTGTAAAATATAATTATGAAGAAGCTGATTGGAGTCGTGAAGGGTAAGTGCAATGTGATTAAGATTGACTATATATATATAGAGATATATTGATCTATTTTTAATGAAAATTTTGTAGTCGTTCGTTGCGTCATATCAATCCGAAAAACCTAATAAAATGGATTGTATTATATCCATCAAAAGTAAGAATTATAATAGATATTAAATAATATAATGTTTAATTGTGTTACTTCTTTTCCAGGAACAAGAAATAACATACCAATTAGTTGACGCGTTAAACCAAGTTTGTACGCCGTTTGGCATGGAAATCAAGTATCCAGATATGTATGTATTGTTTAATTTCTGGATGTCTAATATCGAGAAATTCAAATCATATGTGACCAGTCCACTCCACAGATATTCTTTTTCCGATTTTTTTTATCTCTTTTATTTTTCTTTATTTCACGGTTTAAATGCAATTTCTTAAACAAGAACTAGTTTTCAAGTTTATGTTCTTTGAGGTCTATTTTAGGAAGTTTGAAGTTATTTAGACTTTTGATAATTAGTTTGTAGTGATATACATTGCCATGGTATGATTAGGATCCAATGTTTTTTTTCTTTCTTTTTCAGGACACCCTTGCCAAATGATCGTTCAGAAACATATTATGATGCATTAGCAAAAAAAGTTCGACAAGATACAGAGCTTGTTGTTTGTATTTTGTCAAATAATCGTAAAGACCGATATGATACATTGAAAAAATATTTATGTTTAGATAATCCTGTGCCATCACAGGTAATTCGAATTATAAACACTTATTCTGTTTACAGTCCTTATTGTTTGTTTTTTCTCCTAGATGGTTTTAACTAAAACAATCTCCAGAAAGAACCAGTTAATGTCTGTTGCCACAAAAATAGGAATTCAATTGAATGCCAAACTTGGAGGAGAAATCTGGGGTGTTTCAATTCCTGTAAGAAAATAATCGTAGACATAGTAGTTGTTTATTTAATAGCGAAATTTTTTTCTCATAATAGACTAAAACATTGATGGTTATTGGGATGGATTCGTACCATGATCTCAAACGTCGTACTTCATCTGTTGGTGCATTTGTTGCTAGTACAAATCAAACGTTAACGAAATTCTACTCAAGAATTATTTATCAGCGAACAACTCAAGAACTTATGGATGGTTTAACACAGTGTTTAACTGGTAAATAACAATTTGGAGATGGTCGTTCTATCCTTTAAATATTCATTATTTTTCTATTAGATGCATTAAAAGAATATCATCGAAATAATAATTGTCTTCCAGAAAAAATCGTTTTGTATCGTGATGGTGTCTCTGACGGTCAATTGGCTATTATAGCCGAACATGAACTACCACAAATTGTTGAAACATTTCCAAAAATTATGCCGGGTTATGAGTAAGTAAAAAAATGGAAAATATTTTCTGTTATTGATAAATGGTAAATTATTTATTTATATTCTAGACCAAAATTAGCTGTTGTAATTGTTAAAAAACGTGGCAATGCTCGATTTTTTCAACGTAGTGGTCGATCAATTTTAAACCCGGCTCCTGGTTCGTTATTCATTACTTTTAATATTATCTGACAACATTTTTATTCTTTTTTTTATTTTGTAGGAACTATTATTGATCATACAGTTACCAATACCGATTGGTATGATTTTTATTTAATAAGTCAATGTGCTCGACAAGGTACTGTTTCACCCACACATTATAATGTGATTTGGGATCGTACCAATTTCAAAGTCGATCATATGCAACGATTGACATACAAACTATGTCATTTGTATTACAACTGGCCTGTAAGTACTGGTTCTAACTAATAAATCATCATTTTCTATGATAGTTTTACAGAAAGTACACAATATAAATATTTGACAATATATTTATGGCACTTTTTGAGTAGAATTTGTTTAACAAATTTGGACTAATGTAAAAATCGAGCATAGTAGAGCACAAATACTAAGCGTTATCCCTCAGTAGGTTTACAGTGGTGTACAGTCGTAAAATTACTGTATTAGGACGTTTTGGAATTAGATCCATCTTATCTCTAGGTGAATAATTTGTTTTTATTTGCTTTAGGGAACAATTCGTGTTCCAGCTGTATGCCAGTATGCTCACAAATTAGCCTATTTAGTTGGTCAATCTTTAAATAAAGAATTCAACTTGGTATTGGCAGATAAATTATTTTATTTGTAAAAACATAGAACAAATGACTATTACTTGTTATTGTGTATACATTTTAAAAAATCAAGAATTTTTTATTTTTATACATTTGTTGGTTTCTTTTTTTACATTTGTTATTGTTTGTTCTTGGTCTCTTTTTTTACATTTGGTCTTTTTTTGACCTCATACTCGATCGTACTAAACTGTGATGTTATGTCCATAGATCTGTAGTTATTAATGTCTTTTTTATATTTATTTATTACTTTTTTCTCTCTTATTTCTTTTTTCTACAAATGAATTTTAATAATGTTTATTTTCTCTTTTTTTGTGCTGCAGATTTTTTAAACTTACTATGAATAATGCAACATTTTTTCTTTTTGTAAAAAGTTTTTTGGTCTATGTTTTTTTGTACAGAATTAGTAATTTATACAGCAATGAGTATAGTCTGATCTATTCGCCTTTAGTTTTGCATGTGCTCGCGAATATCCATGTTGCATTGCCTGTGATTGTAAAAATAATTTTTTTCTAGGCAATTTTTTTGATAATAATATTATTACAAGTGTAACTCAACAATGTTTTTCTTGAAAAATGTTAAAAAAAATGAATTCATGTTATATGGCATATATTAGATAAAGTTTGATGTCTGATACAACCAATACACGTCCAAGAATCATTAGTATTTCTTTATTAGGACTTCTTTTTCTATATGCGGAATTCATGTTGTTGAAAGATGCTGTTTTAAAGTAATCATGAAAAAAAGGAAGAATATTCTCTAGCTATTACCGATGTAGGATACTGACAAGCGTCAGTTTCAAAAGTACAATATCTTCTCTCGGGATCAGCTGCTAAAACCGTAAAATTTTTAGGAAGTATGTCAGTAACTGCTAATCTGTTTTTTATTTACTTGTCATCAAACCATTCGAATTCTTGAGTGAGAGTTACTAATTCATGCTATTTTTGTTTTGTTATCAGTATCAAAATTCTTTTTTATATCTGACTAAATGGTGCTTTTAATAGACTTTGATTGGTACTATGATACAATGTACGCTGTGGTTGATGCTTTAGATTTTAGTCATAATTTGCATTTGAATTCACTTGAATCTGTTCGGTTTAACCACCCCTATTGATGTGTGCTCTTCCAGTACGACATGCTTTAGTCTATCTAAAATTAATTTGTGTTTACTTGTTGTCGGTACAGTATCACGCTTACATCGTGGAAATCAAGAAAAGAGAAAAAGTCTTTTTGACTGATTCATTAATGAAATCTTGTAATTTATTTTATTCTTTAATTAGGATGTCTGTGGCTTTAATTAAAAAATGTATATCTGATATATGTCTGCACATGTGTCTTTTTTTTACTGTTTATGTCGTATTTATTCTGTTTTCTATTCTGATAGTCGTATGGAATAGTGTGTCTCAATGTATGATTCAAAGCAGAGAACGCCGCAGGGCAACTTTTTTCGCCCTGTCCAGGGCAAATCAAGGAATTTTTTGTTGCCCTGTCCTGCGACGGTCTCTGATCCAAAGACAGACAGATCTATTAACGGGTAAATTTGTCAACATATGGAAAAAGGCGAAAAAATACATAGAAATGAATATAGTTTATAAAAAATCGATGAAAACATGGGGAAATGTGATTTTCCGATGTGAAATTTTTTCAAAAGTTCAGAAAGTTTTTTGACTTTCACCTGAAAATTGTTTAGTGCATCTCGCTAAACAAGACTTCATTCTGCCCAATTGGTTGAGTTCCCTATACATAGTCACTAATCACTGGAGAAGAGGCTTAAATTTTACTTTGATATAATTCCTAACATGTTTCTATGTCCTTCTTAAGTTCTATATATTTAAATTCTATGTTGTCATCCAAAGGTTCAATTCATAAAACGTCAATAGATTTTTCGAATATATTATCATAGAAGAATAAAACCTGTACTTGGGTGAGAAGTTTTTTCACGTTGTATAGAGCTCTCAGATGTAACTTTATGATGTGTGTGTTTTGATGTAGTTAATGTAATAATGTTAATTGATAAGCCGAACTCGTATCTGACTTCGATATTTTAGATATGAATTGTTTATATCGAACTATTGTTCGTTCTTCTTGTTTTGCATTCAATAGGTTAGAGTAAATAAATATTCATATCCTATCAGCAAACTATTTTGATGTTTGTTTAGACTAGGAGCTCTTCAGTGTTTGCAAATTCGTCATGAAACAACAAATACAACCCAAACGTCACCGAGTACAGACCTGGCGACACTAAAAAGAAGTAACTTAATGGATTTTTTCGACACATCTGACACAATGGCCGATTCCAAAATAATACACGGTAATTGTAACATTTTGCTTTTAGGAGTATTTTAATAGTTGATAAATATATTAAGGGAGATGGTGGCATATGGATGAACTTCGACTAAAAAGTAATGAAGATTTGCATAAGTTATGGTATGTATTTGATTAAATGAAGTTAAAGTTGTTTACTATTTTGAGATTATTTTAGGTATGTACTATTGAAAGAACGAAATGTTTTACTAACAATGGAAGAAGAATTTCGTTATCAACATGAGCTATTTCCAAATCCTGAACGAATCGATAAAGTAAAATGGTTTTATATCCTTGCATTTGTTGTTTCTAATTCCTATATTTTTTCTTATTTAGATCGAAGAAAGTATGAGAAATATTTTGAATGTAGTGCGTGAGAGAAATATAGCTTACAATCTACTGGAAACAGGAAAAACTGGTGAACAACAACCTATTTTTCGGTAAGATTATAAGTAGAAATTATGATAGAGTTTAATTTTTTTTAATGATACTGTTTCTTGTCATTTCACTCGTGCTTTTTTCGATTATTTCAGAAAAACAAGTTTCGGACTATTACGCTTTTATAAACCAAAACACCATATAGTACCACCGCATATGAATACCTGGTACAAACTACTATGGGGCAATCGAAAACCATCGGTATGCTAATTATAACAAAAACAAACATGATTGTCACTATACGAATTTCTTTTAGAAGTGGACAAAGATAATGGAACGACGTTATAATGAAGTGAAAAATAATGAAGAACATCTCGAAATGGAACGTATTAAAAAAGTTGTCGATAATGTAATTCAAAAGTATCCTCATTTGGAGAAAGATCGAGAATTTGTTATGGAACGTTATAAAGAACGGTTGGAATGTGAATTTGTTGAAATACCAGATAGATTTAAAAATCGTCCAAAATTAAAACCGCATGAAACCGTATGGGATGAGGATGAATTTTATAAGAAAGGGGTGTATGACGATCCAAATAAAGATGACTATGAAATTGTTGTCAAAAAATAAAATATTTTATGTTCTTTATTTTGTCATTGTTTTGTATAAAAATTGTGTGCTATTAAAATAAGAAACAGGTAATCTTGTGCATTATTTAGTATTTATTTTCCAATGTTTGTTTTGGATCCATCTCGTAGCTTTGCTTCTCTGTTAATTTTCCGATCTAATGATGTAGATCAGAGCTGGAACCGATTGAGAAAAGATAAACCGATCCGGTCCGACCGCTCTGAAAGTGTAACCGGACCGGTCGGGCCGGTATACAGGCCGGTTGGAATTATAACTCAAACCGGCGAAAATCTGGCGAAGTTTTTTGAAAATCGATTTTCAGAAAGAATTTCCCCCAGTTTGCGAGCACATATGAGAGAACCTTCAGAATAACGAGTCTATAACATTTAACTTTAAAATAAGTGATAAAAACAATACCTGTCTTGAGCATCGTCTTATATATTCTGACTGAAAAAGACGTGAAATTTTAGTTTTTTTAATGAAAAACGGAGTAAAAAGAGCATGTTTCAAAACTTTCAACCGGTGAAATACCGGTCTCTACCGGACCACTGATGATGATGTAGGTACGAAGTTTTGCAAAATGAATACTACTGCCTCGTTCTCTTAATGAGTACATTAAACAGCGGTACCTTTGAAATGAATGAGCAACACAAAACACTTTCAAGCATGTTTATTGTCTAGTACATGTAGATTACTCAAGGGAAAGAGAGGCGTCGCCACTGTACAGAATACTTCCGTCTCTCTGCGTTTCGTTGGGTCGATCCATTCTTTGATTAGATATTAAAAGAACCATTGAAATCACAATCAAGACTGAATGCACGACAAGCTCTTTTATTTTGTTTCTTTTGATTTCAGTCGCGTGAGTGAAACAAACACGGTTTTCTGTGTTTCCTTTTTATTTCTTTTTTGAAATTTTTATTTGTTTACTACCAAAATTATGGAAGTAAGAAAAATATGTGTATAACCATGATTTTTTTTGTTAAGTCGATCGCACAATTTGAGTGTTGTGTCTTTATGGATGCTTACATACGCAGAATGCAATCTGCGTTTTTCAGGGGAATTTCGGTCGAAATAAACCAGGCCGTTCGGTCGAAAATAATGCCGGCATTTTCTACTGAAGGACGTTGTCAGGGTCATTGTTATTTTAGCTGTCCTTGACCATATTTGAGCCGAGTGTACACTCTACTTGTGCGGTCTACACGTATAAAACAACACTGAAGGCGATGTTCCCAATCTCTTCGTATATTATAGTACTATACGAAGAGGAAAAACAAAAGTTTATTATTTCATTTCTCAAGTTTCGTTACAATCAAGCTTGTTCTCTGTGTTTCCTCTAACAAAAAGAGACCAGACCTTCCTTTTAACCACTTGCGATAGTTAGGATAGAGATACGCAGGGATACCTCGTCGTTTGCCACGTCATGGATAAAAATCTTTTGTGGATGACTGTGCGGGTTTATCCATGAAATTCTTGCGCCGATAGCAACTTCTCAAACAAAAAAACAGGTTATTTACTAAATCCAAAGCAAAGTTTAGTTTAAAAAAACCATGTCTGGTCTCAGTTTCAAGTACTACTCTTGTATGTTTATGTTTCTTTCTTGTTACTGACTTCTTTTTCGTATAGTTGTACACACTTACATCATAATAAACTGCTAATCCGCGTGTAATCTTTGCGCATTAACGAAGAAACTTTCAAATATGAACTACACAGAGCGAAAAATCTTCTGCTATTTTAACCTTGGGTGGATGTGTAAAATGAAGAGCTGTTCATGGACATGAACATCTAATAAAAAAAATCTCTAAGTTTAACGTTATGTGGACTATAAGCTTCTACGTCTTTGTGTGAATAGACAAAGCATCTGTCGAGACATTGAGCGTTAGTTTCAGATACTTTCAGTGTTTTCATAGCAGTTAAATAACAATTTCTACTTATGGGGTGTGCCCGGGTACAAAGAGCATCCCCCCGGGCTACAGGCCTAGTAACAACACATTGATTTTTTTTTGGATATGCTATCTCTACTAAAGATTTCAAGTACATCTGGTACTTCCTGTTGTTTGTTTTTATTCACGAAAAGTGAGAGAGCCATCAAAGGTCACTGACCTGTAATAAATGACTCAAGCCAAACAACACAAAAGAGTAATAAAAAAGAACAAAATAAATAAGACAACTAAGGTTAGAACCAGAAATAGTAGAAAAAAGGACAAATTTTTGAAGAAAAAAATAAATAAATAAAAAGAAGTAACCCAAAAAAGAACAGATATAAATTCTTAACTGACAAATGTTTCGCTGGAAGAGATACTGACATAAAGCAATTTTGAAAGAAGCTAAAGAAGAAAGACAAATAACTGACTCTGGGAGATTATTCCAGTCAGCAATAGTTGAATAAAAAAACGAACACAAGTTATTTATTTTATTTCGAATCACTCGAGAATCATCAAAGGTCCGTGACTTGTAATATCGATGACTCAGACCAGAATAAATAGAGATAGGGAAAAAAAAGAAAATAAATAAAATAAATAAATAAAACTAAAGATAATAACAGAAATAAACAAAAGAAAAGAAAAAGAGACTAGAATATGCAACGAGTATATAAAAGTAACAATAAAAGATAGACACAAATAAAAAACCTCTAGAGCAACAACTAATACCAGTTAATTATGACTAGAAACACGGCTGATATTTTTCAGTAGGAGATATTGAACTAGTGCCTTTTTGAAAGACGCTAATGAAGAAAAACAAATAACTGACTCAGGAAGTTTATTCCAGTCAGTAATAGTTGAATAGTAAAAAGAAGAGAAAACTGTTTGAGAAGAAAAACCATTGACAGAGATTGGAATGCGAACATATTTAGAATGATGACAGCGTAAGGAAGAGTAATGAGGACGATGAATAGAGTAAAAGACAGAAAGAGGACTGAGACGATGATAAATTTTGAAAAACTGCACTAGTCGAAAATATTTAGGGCGAAGAGAGAGGTTTGGAAGAGAAAATTGTGATACAAGTAAAGAGCTAGAAAAGCGATAGTCATAGTTACGAGAAATAACACGAGAAGCAAGATTATTTACAGAATTGAGTACTGAAAGCGAAAAGGAACTATCGTATAAGGCACAACAGTAATCAATTTTAGGAAGAATAGAAGAAAGATAGATTCGACGCCGAACCTCTGACGGAGCGAGTCTAAAGATACGGCTCAGTGCGCCTAGCTTGCGTCGACAAGCAAGAGCAATGTCTCTGGCATGTTCACTCCACCTAAGATCGTGCGAAACAAGAACTCCGAGACAACGAACAGAAAACACAACGGAAAGAGGGATTTTATTAAGATACAGCTGATTGTAAACAACCGAGAAAGGATCGAAACTAAAAGGAAGCCAAGAACATTTAGATACATTGAGAGACATGAGATTAGAAGTAGACCAATTTGAGACAGAATTTATACAAGTTTGAACATGAGAAAAATTAAAAGGATCCGAGGGACAAAGAGGTACAATTAAAAAGACATCATCCGCAAAAAGACAGATTTCACAATTATATGGAAGAGAAAGAGGCAAGTCATTAATAAAAATAAGAAATAAAAGCGGCCCAAAAAAGATTAAAAAGATTTAGTAATTCTGACATTTCCTTATTGACAGAATTAAAAACTCTGTGATTCTTCAGCGAAGAGATTATAGCTTGTGTTTTTCAAACGATATATTTGATAGATTTCTTAACTTCGGATAGTTTAGTACAAAGAGTAAAGTAGAAGTAGCAAAGAGAAGATAGCAAGTGTATATGATCTTTCGGTTAAACTGAAAGAAAATATTGCGTTAAAAACTGCGATACTTCGATAACTTAGAAAGAGTGAAAGCCTGAGCAAATCAATATTCTTTACTTCGAAAACCATCAATGTTATGGTGATACAGTCCACTATGGATTCAAAATAGTGCCTGACAATTTAAACATTTAGTTGGTATGCAGTTATGTTAAACAAGCTATAGGCCTAGAGGATGTTTCATAAAAATTCTTAAGTGCTGGACTTAAGTCTACGAGGGAACCTCCTGAGGTGCTAAGAACCTTTTTGAATGCGACTATTTTTAAAATGTAGGCCCTCATGGGCTATGAAGAACTTCAACTTGGTTCGGGCGCAATCAGCTTTGTTGCTGAGATATCGAATTTTCTCCATGGGATCTGGATTTCAAGCAAAATCACAGTTTTAAATTTCATGTTGAAACTTATCGCATTTTGTGGCCCAGACCATTTATAGTCCGATGAAAAAAGGCCGAGCTGAAAATCTCTTTCCACTGCGGTGAAAGAATTTTTTCAAAAGTTGCTCCATATTTTACCTTTGGTATCCATATGGAAAACGTTCTTTCACCGCAGTGGAAAGAGGTTTTCAGCTCGGCCTTTTTTCATCGGACTATAAATGGTCTGGGCCACAAAATGCGATAAGTTTCAACATGAAATTCAAAACTGCGATTTTGCTTGAAATCCAGATCCCATGGGGAAAATTCGATATCTCAGCAACAAAGCTGATTGCGCCCGAATCAAGTTGAAGTTCTTCATAGCCCATGAGGGCCTACATTTTAAAAATAGTCGCATTCAAAAAGGTTCTTAGCACCTCAGGAGGTTCCCTTGTAGACTTAAGTCATACTTAAGTCTCCGTTTTGCACACTTACGTGTTAATTACATACACTTAAGTCTAGCACTTCAAGAATTTTTATGAAACACCCTTCTGACTATTAATAAGCTTGTAGAAGCGGATAGAAACAATGTTCGCCAATAATAAATCCAAAACTTTCATGCAGTAAATTTCACCGGAAGGAGGAAGGAAATGATTACTAAGAATACTGAGCTAGTGCATTATTGTCCATTTATAACGTTATTTGCAAACAAGGCATAAAATTGCGTAAAATTTAAACTCTGAATGAATTGAGAATACTCTAATTTTCTCTAACCACCGTTTCATTCAGTCAGTCAGTCTTGCAATCTTCGCGTAGCTTAGTTAGTTTTTAGTCTGTTTTCTGTTTTTAAGTAAGAGGAGAAAGTGCAGATATTGTTGGAGAAATGTTGAAGTTTTCTCGCGATCCACCTATATTCAATGTGAAAGTAATGCTGATGTTACATTAGTAATTATCATACATCATTAACAATAACGAAATGAAACTCAAATTCATATGTATGTTCAGAATGACATTCTCTTATGTTAATTCTTTTATTTACTTGGTGTATTTACTTTCATTTGGGACGTTGTCGGATATTTCTTTTACTGTTTTGTTATTCAATCTTAAATTATTGTTTGCTTGTTTGCTTTGCCTTCTTAATTGTAAAAATGAACCAAATGTCAGATCATGCATTTTGTTCATTTTTATTTGAGACTAGAAGGTATAATAAGAGAAAAGAAAAGAAAAAATCGATCTTATATCAACTTAGCGATAAAAACGTTTAAGAAGAGTATGTCTTGCTAAATGGTGAGGACAAATTTTAACTGCACTAGCTGCTTGGAAAACCGGAATATGAAAACAATTCTAAACCTTGTGTTTATTTTATCAGTGAGAAATCATTAAAGAGTAAAATATTTCTATTCTATTAACGATCTTTGTTTTTCGAATTTCTTTCTCTGATCGTTTCATTATGTCAACACGAACGCTTTTTTTGTCGCATACAGATTGGAAAATCAAACCATGACAGCAACACGAACAAAAGAAAATAGTGATAATATTAATTTTTTCAAAACACCATTACGAACACCATTACGTACTCTCATTCATGGTACATTATCATCGGTCAGATTAACGGATCTATCATCATATTCAAGTAAAAAATTATCAAAATTTTCGTCGAATAGCGATATTTACAACATTGGTAACAATAATAAAACACCATTACGTACACCACTAACAACATTAAAGTCACAAGTAACAACTCTGTCATCTTCACGTCGTGCTTTAGCGTCAATCAATCATAATACTCCATTTAATTTGAATGATTTTTTTCTATCATCGTCTGATTCATTTATAACTTCATCAACATTGATGAAGGATGAACAGCAATCAACATCCAATACAGCACAACAAATGGATGACGATGAAAATGAATTAATTGATCCAGATGATCAAGATTTACCACATAATTGTAACAATGAAGAAGATACATTCGATGATTTAATACCAGAATATGAAAGAATTGAACGAATATTGCCATTGTTTCGAGATGTTAATATAATCAATTATAATGTTTATCATGAAAATTCAATACGAAATTTATCATCACCAACATTATTAGCGTCAAGAGAAAGAATATTTGATGATGATAATGATAATAATAGAGTTGCTGATTCAAATTTTGATATTGGATTACTTGATGTTAATTAAACATTTGGATAACGATGAATGAAGCTAAACAAATTGCGTATGCGATTTACATTGCTTTAAGTTTGATCTCACAGCACTGTGGTTTTGTAATCTTTGCACAAAAATGCTCACATAACGGGAACAAAAACTTTCTTGACTTGTTCTCAAATCTCAAATGTATTTAGATGGAGTGAATATTTTCTTTCAAGAAAATTAATAATTGAACATTGTGACTGCAAGTAAAATGCATTTGGTGTAAGAAAGACGTGATTATATGATTCTATATGTTTTCTTTGTTCACTTTTATTTTTTTTCACTATTTTGAACTTTCTGACATGACAAACCCTTTTGCTGGTGCTATTCCTGAATTCTAATATAGTTTTTTCGGTTCATTTTGCTCAATAAACTTTAAAACATGTCCAAGAAGATATGATGTGCTCAATTTTTTGTCAGTATGAAATATTAATTTTTTTTGCTTTTTTTTATAAAATCTTTTCCTTTTCTCGTCCAGTACTTCCATTAATGAATGATAGTAAAAATATCAAACAATTTCTATGTAAAGTTTTTCTTTATTAACAAATAAAAAAAAGGAGTTTTTTTAAATTATCGGCTGGAAAGTTGCTCAGTTCAAGATTTTGAACTGAGTTTGAAACAATATGAAATGCAATTTATTTCGAATGTTTCCTTCGTTTAGCTAAACAATAGCAAAAGTTTTTTGTTGTAGTTTTGTTTGTGTCAAATTAATCATACAATTTTTTTTTGATTTGTAACAGCAAATTTTCGATTCATCGCTCACTATTTCAGTATTTTCCGTTCGAACAAATTTCTTAGAGAATTCCGCATCTGATTAAAAAAATCTTCGTTTAACCATTTATGCAGATTTATTTCTCTGAATCTTTTTCAAGAGCTAAGCGCATAAAATGCCTTGTTGTATGACTGTCATTCGCTGTAACTCTAACAATTCAAGAGCAAAGTGAGAAAGAATCGGAAAAGATTGTTGTAATAAAACTCTAAATATTTGCACATCGCTTGTGTTAACTAACTTTTATTTTTAGATCTTTTGTGTTTTTCATGCTATTATTCAAAACAAACGGTAATTAACAACAACGGTAAAAGTAAATGATATTCGATCATTGTTTTGGGACTTTATTCGCGACAACGAGAAACAAAACTCGCTCTTCATTAATCATTCGACGCTTGGCAATTCATCGATGCGATATCAATTGTTTATTTGTATTATTTAACCATTAACTACAAATAATAGGTTTCACATTATCAGATCATGCATTACTAGCAACAAAATGAACATCAAACGATTTGCAGTCGACAACAATGATTGTCTTAAATATGTGATGTTCGAAACTACGTGTATTTCATATGAAGTTTGAACATATTGAGTCACTAGTGAGACAATATTTAACACTCGAATAATTAACGTTTTTGTTTATTGTTAGCAAAAGTTAGTGTGTTTCGACCATTAACATAGTTAACAAAAACTGTGCTAATTCTGATTTCCACTTTATAGTTGGATTTATGACGTAAAATCTATTGGTGCTAGGTATGTTTATGACGATGTTGTTGTGGAGAACGATTTATATCACGATTCAAGTTTTGTTCCAAAACGTATTAAAAACTATGTATGTTTATACAATCCACAAATTACAAGAGGTTTATTGATGCTCGTTGAGAATCTATCAAGTTTGTATAATATATACAAAATAACGATAACTTCAATTTAGTTGGACACATTATGTCCTATCGTAACATATCAACCGAGTATCTCTTCATATCTTTAAAGTTCTATTCGACTTGGCGATGAGAGCATATTATTATTAGAATTATCTATCGAAGTGAAAATTAGTGTATGAAAAAGCGTTTGGTAAAAAACAAAATTGGATGTTCGAAAGACTTCACTTTTTTTGCGATAATTGATGATATAGATGCGATAACGGTTTTAGTATAGATATGTGCAGTTGAAATTTGGAGAATTTCGAATGATCGACAAGCAAAATGGTGCAGATCGATAGATATTTTCTATTGTTTTCTCTGTTTTAGTAATTTGAAAAATGAAAACACAAATCTCTCATTAGAAATGCATTTTTGATCAATATTTCTACGATACAATTTGAACGGTCTATGGGATTTTCAATGGAAGGAAAGAAACAAAATCACTTCAACTGTCTTTAGTGTTTTAAATCTCTCTTCTATTAGATATTCTTTTATAATTAAAATTTTAATTATATATCGTTGAAATCTATCGATTTAAACTAGTAATATAATTGCTTCTTCATATTTTAGTTTAGTATTGTTCATCAGAATCTCAAATCATTAGTAATAAGTAGAAATTTCTCAACTGATGTTTGATTCTTTCTAAGAGACAAATATTTTATTCAATGTTTCTTAAAAAGAATCCTGCGACGCATACCGAAATAGATTTGATTCTGTTCTACCTGTATGGTTAAATATGTGTTTTTGTAGATTACGCTACTTGCATCTTTGCAACACTCAAGCGAGCGCACTTGCGTTCTACTTACTATTGTTCCATTATTCTATTCCATTGTTTATCTCAACATTGATAATAGATGAAGTGACAATACTAATGTAGATGCGTACAACAATGTACGACATATTCTAATAGGGCAAATGTCCTTTTTCCAATTATTTTTCTATGCAATTCTGACTTTTCACAATCAGATTATAATCAGCAATCTAAACAATCAAATTTTGGACATCCGTATATAATATAATTTAGAGATCTCGCCATTGGATATGTATTACATGAAATTAAAGTAAAAATGAGATCTTCGATGCTCGCGATCGTATAGATCATTGTATCATGTTATAGGCAATTTTCTATTATGCTGAGAAAAAATTAGTCAAATTCTTTTTTGTTAGAAACTAAATTTTTGTACGCAAATCGTTCAACGTCTCATAAATTGAGTAATATTGTCTTTTTACACTCTATCTAATTATATACTAATTGACTTGTGTGTGGAGGAAATCATATACTACTAGTGGAATTATAACTTTTTTAGTCTTATTTGCGAATGAACTTGATGAAGTTTGCATTTCTTTCTTTCACATCACTAAAAATATATCAATAACAGTTTTCAGCCAAATTGACTATTTAGAAGCAAAAATTTAGCATCATTCATTTACTTTGTTACTGATAATTGTGTAGACAAGAGTTAAGTCCTTTTTTCTTAGAGATGATACTGTACAGTAAGAAAAGGTGATCGAATAGAAGAATTTGGCCGATTAATGCAAAGTTTCATTCATGAGACAATTTCTTGCTACCAAGAAAAGTTTGAAAGAGAGTGATCTCTCTCTCTCTCAGATTTGTTATTTTGTAGAAAATTTATTAGCGAAGTTTTCATAATTCGCGAGATAAAACGAGTAGTGAGATCTACTCGATTTCGTTTTGAAAAAACACAAATCGATCTAACTGGATAATAGTCAACAAATTATGTATTTCTGGAAGATTTTGTTCATTGAGCTGTAACCATTCAGTTTTATTTTTTAGATTAAATTTTCTCAGATGATTATTATTAGTTCAAATTGTTACTAATTAAAATGGATTCTTCTTCTGTCAGCAATGCTCAAATGAACGATAAATTATCAGCTGATGATGATAAAAGTAATAATGACATGAATTTTACAGTTGGTGAACAAAATGCAAAAACAATTGTGTGCCTGTATTGTGATGATATTATTCTACGTCCAAAAACAGGAAAATATGAACAAAAAAATATTTTATTACCTCGTATGGATATGAAAAAAACTTCTACATCATCATCATCAAATGATAATTCTATACCGATCAACGGCAATGATCATTTATGTGATTCTATTGATTATTATTGGCTTGTAAACGATATGTTTACGTTTGAAAATGTTGGATTTTCTAAAACTGTTAATAATAATGTCAAATATTTGATATGTTCGAACTGTGAACGAGGACCAATTGGCTATTGTGAATTAGATCCGACAACTGGACAACTAGATAAACAGTTTTATGTTGCTTTTGACCGTGTTAAATATAAATAGTAAGTGTAAACATAAAACATCTAAGTACAACATTCTATTATAAGAAAACGATAGATATTTCCATTTTTCTTTCTTTATTGTGTTTATGAATAATTTTTGGGTTTTTTCTTTTTCTATTTGTTGAAAATATATATATATGTTCAACATGATATAGTTCAATTGGTTATCAGAAGTAGAGAAACTGCGAAATAACGATATACTAAGCTAGAATAAAGTATATTACAGTGGACATGCTGGCGGATATTTGGAGAAAAATCGAAAGTAAACTTTTTCGAAATTCAAATAGCCTTATAAAAATACTCCGAAGTCTGAACTATCTAATGGCGAAAAAAGTTTTGTTTCAGCTAACGGATTTCTGGAAAAATCTATAAGTGAGAAAAGATCCACTAAAAAGCGTCCGTTTTTCTCAGTCGAGAAACACTTTTATTGAAAATCAATGTGATATTCGGAATTAGCATGAAAAATGACATTATATGATGTATAATTTATTAATTTTACAAATAAATATTTTTTGATAAAAATTCAGGGCAAGGAATTTTTTATCAAAAAAATTTCTTTTTTATATTCGAGTCTTTTTACTTTTATTAATATCTGCTACATAATAACATCATATTATGCGAAAATAATCATTTGTTAACTCAAAAACATGAGATGTCCGCCTGCTCTATGGAAAAATGCCCACTTTGGTATATATACTTATTGATTGTGCTATATTGTATATAATTATTGAGAAAAGGAAACGTATGCAAAATTGTGCACATATCGTTCTTTATTTATCCAAAATATTCTTTTGCATTCATAAAATCGACGAATTAAATTCTTTTAATATAAGAGAGTTTGTAATACAAACATCTAGCAAAAGCATAGAACAACGAACTTTTCTCACTTAATAATCCAAAAGGACAATAATTTCTGCGAATTAGCCATCTTGTTATACACATGTTTAAAAAGCGATGTGTCACTCACTGATTCATAATATTTTATTTTATAAAGTTTTTGTTGAAAACACATTGTGTTTCATTTATTTCATGTTGTATTTTATGACATGTAATATTTTGGAATGGTGAACACTTATATCATAAATCACATGGTTGTTGATTATTCATTATAATAATCAGAGGTTTGTCTTTCACCAGAAAATGGTTTCTTAATGTTTTTTTCTCCAGTAGAGAGAGATAGATGAAAAAGATATATATATAGGAATATTTGATGTGAGTTATATTTAGATCTTCTAAACAAATTCATATAAAAACCTATACTTTCTAATTGTTTTGAGGAACTTATCTTCTAAGTAACTTGTACAGAAGTAACTGGCTTTGTACTGAAGTTTTTCTGAAAAAGAGGAATTAAGGAGGACATGCAAAATCTTGAAAGAAGGACCAAAAAAGGAGGATGTAAGTCCTAAGTTAGAAACATTAATTTAATATAATAGATAAGTACAACAGAATTTGATTATATTCTGACGCAAATAGTGTTTTCTGGTATCTTTTGAAAAACTATATTTTAGAAAAATTGAGCGGAAGAAAAGAAAGTACCTGACACGTGTTAGCCAGAACGAATGGAATCTTTTGAATTCGAAATATGCAAGATATTTATATACGATGAATAGAGAAAGAGAGAGAGAGAGAGAAAAGGAAGAAAATACTCATAAAAAGAATTACTAATGACACGATAGTAGGTATGGACGGAACCAATGGGCGGTTTTTCAGTCACGATTCCGGAAATTTTCTAAAAATTTATATTTAAATATGGAAAAGAGGTAAAATTTTAGCTGCTTACGAAATTGTCCAAAAAACATTCTTGGCTTCAATTCCGATCGCAGGTAAAATCTTTTTCAGTTTCAGTCTCGATTCTGCTATAGCCACACGATAGACAATGAGACGAAGATACAATTAGTGGAAAAAGAAAAATTTGTCATGTCATTATCTCTTGAAGGAAGAAGGATAGGAAGATTTCTGTTTTACCATTCGATAGCTCTAAGTTTCAGCTTTTGTTGACAGCAGATTTTTATCTAAAATTCTTCTATCAAAAGATAGAAGGTTTTTAAGTTTGATCTGCTTTTTCGCTCAATAAGTGTTCATACAGTCACGTTTCCACTAGAGACCTGCACGTGACGACTTTTTGACAATCTATAACCTAACTTATAAAAATTTTCACAACCTAAACCTAGCCTAACCCACGAAACTCGTAATCTAAACCTAACCTAACCTAGGTTAACCTAATACAATCTTTTGCAATTTCTTTTCAAAATCTGGTTTCAGAAGCCTAAACTTCAGCTTTGTTCCATATGGTTTTTGTTTTTTATCTAAACACCGTCTGAAAGGTAAACTTATACAAAATAAATCACATTTTAAGTGAATATAGAAATGAATCGGTTCAGTCTTTTATTGTTTAATGTAATCTTTGGAAAATAGCTTTCTGAACAGAGAGATCCTCTTAAGAGTAGACCAGAATTTCACTTTAGGCTCTCGACGCTAGGAAGATTCTGTTATTGTTGTGTATTTGCCATCTATTTTTAGCAAACGGAACTTTTTTCTCTGTACTTCCTTTTTTGATTGTGCTGTTTTTAAGTTTAAAAATAGTTCAGTTTAAACTAGACAACCTCAGTCTGAACTTCATCCTCAATCAATAAAATTCCGCTCGAACTACGCTTTATTACTCAAAGTGTTGGATGTTTTAATGTGGTCGTTCAAAATCGTTTTTTTCGTTTAGGTTAAAAATAGGTTATCAATGGCGTAACCTACAACCTAATCTATAAAAAATTTCATAACCTGTAGATTAGATTCGGCTAGGTTAGATTTAACCTAGCAGGACTCTATTTTTCACTTCTATTTGGATACTTATTGAATAGATAGAATTTTTGTTTATATACCACTCGAAAGAACAAAGTCTGGACTATACGATGAAAAAAAGAAATTATCAAATAGCTGATGGATAAAAATTGAGTGTTTAATTAGTTAATCAAATTTTACATAAAAAGTTGTTTGATCTTTCTAAAATTTATCAAAAAATCAGCCCAGAATAACTTGAAGGTGAATTTGGTACACTTTTTTGGGTGTTCTTACACTTTCTTTTCTGTGTTCGTGGGCGTTCTTTGGGTGTTCGTAGGTGTTCGTGGGTGTTCATTCAAAATGTATGCTTAAAAAGCGAAACTATAAAAAAATTTTTGGGTATTCGTTAGGAATTGCTATACTCAGCTCGACGAGCTCTATCGATTGTCTAACTCAGATTTTAATTTGGGAGCGTTCGTGGGTGTTTGCGTCTTTTAGCAATACTCAAAAATATTGTTTTATGGTATGTAAGAATTTTAGTTAAAAGTCAGCTGCTAACAAGGAATAAAGCTGAAGCTTAGAGCTAGCGAATGATAAAAAAAGAAAAAGAAATCTTCCTATTCCCTTGAGTTTACTCTAGGGTCTTACAAACTGGTAGTCTGTCTGTGTGTGCGCAACATACGCGGAAAAATGGTTGCTAGATATTCTATGGATAAACAAATCACAAGAGAGAGAAGTAGAAAATTATTTTTTACAGAAAGGAGAAAATATTCAAAGAGATGATCTGAAATATCTACCGCTGCAGAGAGACAAAAAGCTAAGCAAACGTTTTCTGTAGGCCGGGGATAAATGTCGCTAGATAGCAGTCAACTGTGATAATACAAAGAAAGTCGGCTACGGATAATGTAACTTACAGTGTATAGAGAATCTATCATAGCGAATCGATTAAAAATAGTTCCAATCTCCTTAGGATCCGTAAAGAGTGTCCAGAAAACCTTTTAGCTTTATTTACATTAGATGGTTTTTCCGTGGAAGCAGAGAAGTTCACAGCGTTTCTCAGCTATAGTGGCTGTGAACGCTGACCGAAGGGCAGTGCTTTGGATTGAATGAGCATTGCTTTGAGTTCAGAAATATTTTTAGACTTCTGGGACTTTTTGTCTTGCATATTTATATTAGATTACGAACCCTACACATGAAAACAGAAAAACATCAAGAAGATGGCTTAGTTAGGCCCCCAGCGAGCGTCGACCGAAGGGAGGCGTGAGCATTGTCTTCGATTTAAAAGTCACGAAAGGGCGTTCAATAGCGCAGATCCAGGTTATTAAAGTCAAGGGACCGAGCGAGTGGAGACGAGCGTTACCTTGTTCTTCTTCCTTCATGAGATAATGGCGTTATAAATTTGTTGTCCTCCATCGTTCGAACACGTTTTCCACTAACTGTAGATAAGAGAGATCTAGAGAAGAGGAAAATACACATACCAAACAGAGAACTAGTGATGACTACTCGGTATGCAGTAGGAAGAAGTGTCTATCGGTCCCAATAATACTTATAGTGTAATAACGACTCCTGAGTCGTTATTACACTATAAGTATTATTGGGAATTATAACGATCACTATAAGAACAGACGGTACTGAATGAAAGATATGATGACTAAGCTTTTAAGAAGGCTCTTTTATTAAACGCTGTTCTAAAACCAGCCAACTTTGTCCTTTTTTTTACTAAAAAGAAGGAGAAAATGGGTAAAAGGAGGAGAAAATTTTATTTAATAGGAATAGGGAGGGAAAGAGGACGAGTACGATGCAAGGATTAATCTTGAAATCGCCTTTTAAACTCATTCTATCTGAGAAGCGTGCAATATCTGTTGTACTCTGATACATTAGTAACATTGATCCATTAGGCATATGTTGTTTACTTAAAACACTTTTAGAAATTACATTTATTATTTAGGTAATGAACTAGTTAGTGAAGCTGCGTAATTCGTAATATAGTGCATAACACAGGCATGCGTTTGATTAAAATCGACTATTTTATCTTTGCTTACGAGAATACTTCAAGTGTATATTATCTATTTTTTGATAAATAGTCAAAAGGAGACAAGTACGTCCGAAGTGTTCCAATTTACCTATATACGACCCTACAGCACGAAAAAAACTTCGAAAGTTAAATGAAATAAACCAAATACAATCTACGAAAAAACTGGTCCTTAAAATAGATAATGTATGAGTCGA